TAGATACATACATAAGTGCATATATACATTTCAAAATTAATTAATTTGCCATTAAATGTACAAAACATAATATTGAAAATAAATGTTGCCTTTAATCAAATGTTTAAAGTAGGAGAAATAAATTGGTAGGAAAATGCAAAGGTGAAATAACACATAAAGACACAAAAAAATGAATGTAAATAAATAAAAAATAAATGTAAAAATAAAATCTGAAAAAAATAAATTTGACCCAATAAATAAATTAATATTGCCATTGATTATACCAAAAAATATTTGAATTAGGTGTAAACAATGATTAACTGATAAAATGTGACACAGTGAATAAGACTAGTGGGAAAATACTACAATTTTTTTTTTTTAATTTGTTAAATATTATGAACATATAAATAAAAAACTAATAATTTATTAACTTAAAAAATCAATATAAATTTAAAAAGGGAAAATGATATAAAATATATATAATATAACATATCAGTTTATCCATTGAGTCATTTAATTATTAATTTATATTGGCAGTTTTCATCCTCCACATATTCCTGTCACAGTGTCCGCCTCAGTTGTGTGTGTTCCTGTCACATTCTGCCTCTACTTTCCATGCAGTCACATTCCTACAAATCTACTAGTGTTATTCTGAGACACGTGTCCTCCAGGTGCCCTCAGAGTTTTCTCCTTTAATCCCATCCTGCCCTGTAATCACCTCACGCTCCTCACCTGAGTGTCCCCACCTGCACCTCATTTCCTCGTCAGCCCTGCAGTACTCAGACCACTCCCTTTTCTCCAGTCAGCTGACAGATCACTGTAGTGTCTTTGTTTCTTTGCTTTCAAACCATCTGCCTCTACGCTCATTTGTATTTTTAACTGGTCGTTAAATCATTGAACTGTTGGTACCTCGACCATCTGCATTTGTGTCATTCTTCTGCTGCCTGACAGGCTCAGACTGACGGTAACAAAATGTGTCTACAAGCACCTGTAAATCTCATAAACTAACATGTTACATCTCACTTTAAATCCAAAGCTTTGGAGACTGTTTTATTGCTCCTATAAAAGAAGAAATAATGTGACACTTAACCTCCCTGTCAAACTGTCAAGAAAGCTTCTAAGTATATTTTCCAAAATGTCAGATTATTCCTTTAACAATGTAACCACAGGTAGACATCTGCAGGATTTGGAAATACAGACGCTGCTGGATCTCTTGATAATTCTGTTTTCTGTTCAAATCTTCAGGAAAGGAGCGCAACTTTGACAAAGTCAATACCCTGAACCAGGGAACCACCTACGACTACGGCTCTGTTATGCATTACAGCAAGTAGGTAAAACTAAAGCAGCTCAGTTATGACTGTGGCTGTCGTCTGTGTGATGGAGAATACGAACGGGCACTCAGACTGAAAACAGGCGGCTCAGATGATGAGGGAGTGTTGGTGTTTTAGGTACTGATGTCACAATGAAACATGATCCAGGAAGTCCTTCTCACCTTTCTTTTGCTTTGCCTTTCTTAAAAATCTCTCTGACAATAGTGTGTTCAATAATGTTTGTTGTGTTTCCAGGTACGCTTTCTCTAAGAACAACCAGCCCACCTTGGTGGCCATCCCTGACGCCAACGTTCAGTTTGGCAAGGCCACAGAGATGAGCCAGAAGGACATCATCAGGCTCAACAGGCTTTACAACTGCTGAACAGTCTGCAGGTAAAACACGTCATTTAAACACACAGTCATTCTGAAATATATATTCAGAAAGAAAAGTATGTTTATTCAACCTGGTCTCACCTCAACCCGTAGTTCTCACAGGACAGCCATACTGCGAACATATGATGATCTTATAGACCATGATGCATTGCTGTAGATTAAACTCCCCAACAGGATATAAAGGAGTTCAAATGAGCTCAACCTGAAACATGTACAGCAGTAAAATGACACATACACATTAATGCAGCAGGAATATTAATCCAAAAACATCAGATAGAATAAAACACTGACAGCAGGGAACACTTTACTGCACTATCAATACTTTTACTTTTCATAATTTAAGTACACTTGGCTGATAATACTTAACATACATTTACTTCAGTAAAGGATCTGAATGCTTCCGCCACTGTTTATAGTTGATTTAAAAAAATTAATTTCCCTTTATGTTCTCTTGTTAAACAGGTGGATGATGCAGAAATACTTCAGGAAGAGAATCATCATCATCATCATCAATCAGTGTCTTCATTTATTTCAATCACTGGCTCAACTATAAATTCTGTCTGCTTTAACCAACATCAATAAATCAGCATTTAAACACAGTTTCTTTGAGTTTGTTCATTTACTTGTGTTCTTACTGTCTTATTTTCTCATACAGTTAACGCTGTAACTGTTCTGTATAATATGTGAATTATATAAAGGTCCCTGTCTCTTAAGTTAAATATTAAAATGTGCTCAATTATTTTTATTTTTAAAGCTATCAGGTAAACAAGCCCTTATTTTGTTTAACATGGTAAAATCAATTAAATCTTAAGAGAGAGAGCTGTGAATCTGACACCATTAAAGAAAAGAGGTTCTTGGTCGTATCATCAATCAGCTGATAAAAATATTGTCTTGATCAATATCAATATCGTTCTGTTTCAAAATCTGATTATCTAAGTTCTGTGAATGTCAAAATTCCCTTCTCCTGCAAAGACTATCAAATATTGGATTTGATCCTGATCCTACCGTTTTTTTTCCCCGTTAAAGGGTTTTTTTTGGGGAGTTTTTCCTTATCCGCTGCGAGGGTCATAAGGACAGAGGGATGTCGTATGCTGTAAAGCCCTGTGAGGCAAATTGTGATTTGTGATATTGGGCTTTATAAATAAAATTGATTGATTGATTGATTGATTGATCCACAAGCCATTAGATGGTTCAATAATTACCTCTCAGGCAGACAACAGTGTGTAAAAGTGGGAAATGTTAGATCAAAGTACTAACCAATAACAAAAGGTGTCCCGCAAGATTCAGTCTCAGGACCAGTGCTATTCACCATATATATATAAATGATACAGCTTTGTCTTTGCACAACTGTAATGTCCACTTTTATGCAGATGACACTATCTTATATTGTTGGGCTGAATCTCAAACTTGTATCAAATGCCGACAAAACAAAATATATGCTGTTCTCCAGAGACAAAAGCATTAACCACAGTACTCTCCAAGTCTGCATCTTAGATGGTACGATCACTGAATGAGTTCCACATTATAGATATTTAGGCATCTGGATTGATGACAAATTCACCTTCAAACCACACATCGATGCACTAACAAAACAATTAAGAATTAAGCTTGTTTCATGTATATATATATATATATACATGAAACAAGTCCTGTTTTCATTTATCTAGAAGAAGGAAGATTGTGGAAACAATCATTCTGTCAGTGCTAGACTATGGTGATGTAATCGTTGACCCTGCGGCTGCGTCCATTCTTAAGCCCCTAAATGCTGTCCACCGTTCAGCCCTTAGATTTTTTAAACTTGTATTAACAGACCTGTTATTATATTATATTATATTATATTATAATTTTTATATTATTTTTTTAATATATCATTATTTATGTGCTCAGGTCTCTCTTAAAAATGAGATCTCAATCTCAACAAGACTTACCTGATTAAATAAAGGTTTATATGTGTATTTGTTTGTTATTTATCATGCATTCATTTTATTTGTGATTTTACGTATCACTTATCTTTTATACATTCCGATTCATGCTGCTGCAATGACCAAATTTAGTCTTATTAATCGTTCCATTTTTAATTATTTCAGCTAAGGAAAATTTCCCATGTGATGCACAATCAGGAGAAACATCACCTCAGACTACAATTTGAAATACAACAGATTAAAGAATATAAAGTTTGAGTCTGAGTTTAACATCAGCTAAAGTTTTACTAAAATACGATTATGGTTTAACAACTTCTGCCAGAACACAAGAATCCATGTTAGATTGTTTTTATGGAAAATTATTGGTTCCAACAACAAGTTGTTGTGGGAATGTGCAAGGTGACGCCACAGTGAGTTTTCTTATCGAACTCTGTCAAAGATACACACAACTACACCACACTGGTTCTTTATCATTTGGGATTTATAAGCCAAGTAACTCAGGTTTGGTGTTAATGATTAGTTTATATGCAGCTCAGCAACACCTTAAAAGCTCACTAACTAACATGTTATATCTCACTTGTTTAATCTTTACAAAACTGAACAATTTACCGTTTTACTGGGGTTATGTGCCGAGAATCTTTGTCCACTTGGAGTTTGTGGCAGGGTGGGTGGGGTTTAATCAGAAGTTGCTACTTTAAGCCTGAAATTTAACCCTAACACATTTTACTTGCGATACTTGCACTCATAAAAAGTACATTATCTGTACCAGTACTCCTTTCATCTGAGTATTCAACTCAACACTACCAACAATGACATCATTAGCTTATGAAACTGTTACAGCTAACATGACACACAGCAGCTAATTTTCACTGAAATGACAAACACAACATTATGGAAACTGTGAAAGTGGAGAAAGAGATGAATGAGCTGAGGTAGGAGCAGCGAAAATAAGCAGATTCTGTGGTACTAAAAAAGTCTTTAAAGAATTTTTCCAATGTCTTTTAAAAATCTATTTAATAGTTCATAATCTGCAGACAGAATCAGATTACAGACTTGAATTTGAACATGTAGGATCATCAATAATCAAATGTGTAAGCAGCAAGTATCAGAGTCTAAATGTAAATTCAATTAATTCATTTTTTAAAGATTTATAATTATAAGTGAATAATAATTAACTACAAAAAAACATCTAATTTCCACTGTGACATGCTCCAGACTCTTTTGGGAAACAGTGTTATGGGAATAAGCATCTGGTATCAAGGTGAAATATTCTTATCGGCTGCAACAGGTGTATTTATATCTCCAATCATTATTTTTCCTGGTGTATATACAGAAGCAGCTCGTCTCCAAAGCTGCACTCAAACACTTTGTGTTGAGTATTTGTGGTGTGAGCGTCATTTAATACATCTCTGTTGTCTTGAGGAGACATGAAAGGTCTGAGGTGCACTCTGGCTCTTCTGGCTCTGATGGTGGTTTCCATCAGAGCTGCTGAGAAGACGGTGAGTCTATTCAAAACATTTCACATATCTGTTGGTATGGTTCTTGTATTTTAAATTCAGTCATAAAAATACACCTAAATTTAATGGGAATCAGTCGGGTAAATAAAACAAAAAGTGAAATTTAAAATGGACAAAAATTGAATATAATATGTGTTGAAGTCACTTTCTCAGTTAATATTAAAAACTATAATCTCCTCCTTTATTAGATTTGATAACCAGGAAGTAATCAAGTCTTTTTCTTGGGGACCCGTCATGTCATAAAACTGCATGTGATAATAATTTTGGTGAATTAGTAATATGGTGAGTTTGAAACAAATCAAGGCAGAATAAAAGTTGGGAATTGCCTTAATTTTGCTATAACACACTGTTATTTTATTATGATTTATTTTATTAGTAGTTTTTATTTCTGTTTTTATTTTTCATTTAAATACATNCCCCCCCCCCCCCCCCCCCCCCCAATTTATTTTCTTCCACAGTTGATCGACTAAGGCCTAATAATAATTTACTGGGTTACGGCTGGGATGGGGGTGGGGCTTATTGTTGTGTATTATTGTGATTGTTGTTTGTTACCCATGTTAAAACAATGAAAGAGTTGCTAACTTTTTTTGTCACATTATTTTACGAATTCTAATTTTGCTGCAACTCTGGTTTGACTACTAATTGGTCATATCATCTCTGGCACTGTAAAAAATGTTCTCACCTTTTTGATCATCTTCATTCTGTATATTTTGTGTGTTTGTGCTCTTTTACATTTTGTAGGTTTTATTTCAACACTGGGGGGGGCACATATGAAACAAGGATGGTCTGGTTGACCTCCACCATAAAATTTTGACATTTAATTTCCTGCATTTTGTGAATTAAGCACCAGTTTATGTATTTTCTATTGATGGTGTGAATTGTTTTTGTTTGTTTTTTTCAAGTTAAAATTCCTCTGCTACTCTCATGTTTTATTGCTCCAATTATTGAAGAGGATATTATTGTATATTGGCTCAATAATGACTTTATAACCTTAATGCTGTCCAACTCCTCTCATCACAGGCTAAATCTATGTCTGAGAGGATTGAGGAAGCCAACGTGAACATTGGTGAGATATTTAAAAAGTTTGTTAAGAACTTTAATTATTCAAACAGATGGATGCAGATTTATGTAAATAATAAATAAATAAAGTAAATAAGTAGATTCAAATATTTACAGAAAAAAAGGACTCAAGTCACTAATTTAATGAGTTTAGACTCGACTTGACAAAATTCAAAACGAGTTGCAACTCAAGTAGGATTTTAACACCAGTGACTTGTGACTTTGCTCGAACTTGAGTGATTAGACTTGAAAATTCTTGATAACGTCCCCCAAGCCCAGAAATGAAAAACTACATCAAGGTTGGAAACATCATCTTCAAAGTACTGTTAATCAAATTTCTATTTATGCACTGTTTATGTCTATTTTAATAGCACTGTACGTTGTTGTTGACAAGGACTGTGGTTGTTGTTTTTTGTCTTTTTTGAGCTGCTGGAGGCTGAATTTTCCTTTGGGGATGATAAAGTTCTGTTCTATTCTATTTTACAACAATCTAGTATTTTTGAGGTTTGTAAGGTAAGGTTAAGATTATTAAACATTGAGGCAATAGTATATCCAGACCTAAATGAAAACATTGACATTGAAACATTGAACTCTAATCTAATTAATTTTGTTATTGTTTCATCAGTGACCCATTTTAACCAATAACAGCTTTATAACCAACAAGATCATTAAGATCACAAAGTCATATTAACCTGATGCTGAGAAAACAACTTTTTAAAAACTATATATTGTGTCCTCTGTGGTTTTCTCTATCGCACTGACCTGTGCTCGATGTTGGGACACCAGTCAGAGCTCTTGATGGGCACTTTGTGGTGGATGACATGGTTTATGACTCTGAGAGCGAGAGGAACGCCGACCCCTGCACCTTCACCACGTGCAAGTGGGACCAGGCCAGTGATGGCATGGTCTACGTGCCCTACATCATCGCAGACCACTACAGTGAGTGTTCTGCTTTTCAAGTATTCACATCCTTTACTTGTCTGTCTTTCATCAGTAGTTGGGTTTTGCTTGCTGTAATCAGTCCTCTTGTTCATATTGGTCATCAAGAGATGTTCTGATGACCTTCTTGTGTAAATGATATGGGAGTCCCCTTTCCATGCAAACATTTATTAATTCACTGAGCTTAAATGAGGCTTTAGCAGCCTAAATTAAACAAACCAAGTGTGTATCATTCAAATGTATTGTCTTTTTAGTGCAAAATGCCCACTGTGTGTTTCCCTGAATAGTGTTTCCATGTTGTGCTACTTGTTTCAGTGTTCACATGGGCACCTAACTATTGTTTTAAGAGTTTAAACTGTTTATGCTAAGCTAAGCTAACTGGCTGCTAGCAGTAATGTCACATTAAGGGTAAACATGAGAGTGGTGTTGATCTTCTCATGTAACTCTTAACAAGAAAGAAAATAAGTGCAGGATTTGACCAGTGTCATTTTGTCTTGTTTTATCTTGTTATGTCTTTATTAACTGATTGTTTCACTTTCAGCCTCTAGAGAGCGTGCCATTATTGAACGTGGCCTTCAGTCCTTCCACAGTGTCTCTTGCATCCGATTCGTCCCTCGCACCAGTGAAAGAGACTTCATCCACATCCAGTCACTGGACGGGTTCGGCTTTATTTTATGTTTCAGTCACCAATAGCAGAAACTGTAGACATAATTACACATAGTAGTTTTATGGTATTTGTTTTACCGCAGTTCTTCTACATGAGGTATTAATCTAGAAATATCAACATTCAGGAAAGCACCTAAAACTTGTTTTTTGGCCTGGTATGTTATAGTTTAATCAAAATTAATCCCTGTAACATATTTAAACTGGCTCACAATCATTTCCCACAGTAACATCAGTGAATTACTTTGCTAGACACAATGAATAATTAAAGCTCCATTTTGAAATACCGTAAATAAGTTTATTTAGTTATAAACAATAGTGATTGAGTTACATTAAATAAAGGTATAAGTAATCGGCTCGTCTGATAATTTGATATGTTCAAACTGCTGAGCATGTAGTTCTTAAAACTGATATTAATTTGTCAATGTACCACAGACTTTCTGTAGGGATAATCTACTTTAACTATAACTGTAGTTTTATGACTCTCATAGTTTCCAGTGGTTCCAGATCAAGGGCTAAGATTGGCCTACTGTATGCAGAGGTGTCCCACAAGGGTCTATTCTTGGTCCTCTTTTATTTTCATCTTCATCCATAAACATAAACAATATTATATTACAAAATCCAAATGTACATTTCTATGCAGATGACACTCTGTTTGTCACATATCAGCACATGCTCAGTGAACTTTGGACATCTACATATGACACGCTAGGTAGCCTTGGTGTGTCTGTTGTTAACATTCTTGGATGATGTGTCAGTTTGTTCCTGTTGCATGCATTGTGTCATTTCAAAATACACTTAACATGACAACGTTGGTAAAACACCTCATATTTATTTCCTTTGTGCAACACATGCATGTGGTGAGGGTTAGAAAAAAACATCATGGTTTGGCTCAACATTCATACAGGAAGCAAACACTGGGCTCCTGGGTGGAAATCTGGTCTTTGTTGGACCCATCCACCACTCTCCTGACCGCCCTATAAGGACTTTCCAGTTCACTTAAGTTACGTTTTTCTAGCGGTGTTTATAACTGATATTATCTGGAGGCATTATAAACTGACACTTCCTGGCGGCAAATCATACCACTGCAAAAGGATGTTTTTTCTTGTCAGTGTCTGACGCAGAAGTCACTGACCAAGCAGCGGTATTTGACAACTTCCGATAAAGAATTGGTTACTGTTGAAGAAGATTGAAGATTGCACCTACACAACACGTAGGTGCAAGGCTTTAAAAGAAACAGCATAATTAAAGAAAAGACAATGCCTGCACACTTACTCCATGTCACAAATATTTATTAAACATTTGTGGCAAGTGTGCAGGTGTTGCTTCTTCCTCTCTTTATCTGGCTATTGTAAAATGAAAGTTATAAATAATAGATCTCTATGCTCTTTTGCTTATCTCAATGTCACCGTAGAGGTTCTAGCCTATTGCCTCTATCCATACACCTCAGGGTTCTCAAATTGCAGCTGTTAAGTGTTATGAATACTTATGAATCTGGTTAGACACTTCTAAGACCCATTTGGACACCTGACAAACAGACTTAAAGTCAAAATTTGATCTTTGAACATGAACAAATCAAGCTCCTTTTTATTGTCCGAGGATCATTGTACCTCTACAGTTGTGTCTGCTCTTGATTAAGTTTGAAATATGTACACACAATAACACACACTGTTTATCATCATCAGGTGCTTCTCCTCTGTGGGTCGGCGTTCCAATGAACAACGTCTGTCTCTGAAGCGTCAGGGCTGCCTGTATCACGACATAGTACAGCATGAGTTGCTGCACGCTCTGGGCTTTAACCACGAGCAGTGCCGCTCCGACCGAGACCAGCACCTCCTCATCCTGTGGGATAACATCATACCTCGTGAGTGACACTCTAAATGTTCCATCCCGGTATCCTAAAGTTTAAGTTCGTATTATAAAATGCTCCACTGCATGAATCATGTCCAGTGTTAGTGTGGGAGGTATTGTACCCTTTATGCAGTGAGAAGGAAAGTAGGGGTTTGGAGATTGACTGACATTACAGTTCATGACAAGACATCTCATTTGTCTTTAAACTTTTTTAAATTTTCATAGTGCGTGACCACTGACCCTGATGAAGGCCACAAGTCAAACATTGTTTTGCTGGAGTTTTACCTCTTCTTATTTCTTCCCATCTCCATGCACCCTTGGAGGAAGGCAAAGTTGTGTCAGAAATCCTGACTCAACTGACCACCAAAAGGATGAATCCATTGTTTTTAGTGACCCCTTTATTTTTTGTGGTAGAAAAAGTCTCATATGAAACAAGCAACAAGTCCTTAAACCCATACAACCACACAGGTCATATGTTCCTACTCTCTAATACAATCCACTGGGGCGTTTCCTAAATTAGGAATTAGGAATAGAGTCATGGTTGGGCATCGTCATGTTACATACTTAACGTGACACTGTGCACTAATGACCACATGACATGACGGCACAACGTGACGATAAGCACATTACGTGGTGTTTTGTATGTACATAACTCAGTGTTTAGATTTTACATCGGCCACCGTAACTTTCATCCTTGTCCCGCCGTGTTACCCCCTGACACTGCCGGTTGCCGTTAAACTGAAACGGCAATTAGCCAACGTGCCAACACATTATTTCGTTGGTTTCTGACACCGCAAGTCACTGTCCAAGCGCCAGATTTCGATGACATTGGAGTGAGACTGAGCTCAATTAAGCTGTGAATAATGAAGCACGTAGCAAGATTTCATGTCATACACTTTTCCGTGAGAGTTGAAAAATTGGAACATCAACGACCGATTTGTGCTGTGATAGCCAATCAGCATTGAGATCCTCCGGGGAAGTATTAGGTTGAGTTATTCACGTGTGAAGCAAGGCAAGACAAAATATTCTAGTGCTCAAACTTGCGTGAATACCACAACGTAAAAAATTCGCATCTCATTTGGTGTGAACCCAACATTATGTTGAAGCATGCATTATTATAGATGCATCTATACATACGTCACTTTATTTAATACATACAATGATAACTTATGATACTGCATGGACTGTTACAACATACTATGACTCCTTACTACTGTTAATTGTTTAAATGTGTACAGGTGAGTACAGGCATTTATAATGCAGTATAAGCCTCATCAGTCAACCTCTAGTCAAGAGCATTCATAAGACACTTATAATTTATTAGAAGTCACATCTATAATGATTTATGACTGTTGATACAGTGCATCAGTAAGCACTGTGTGAGTTTATGAGTGTAGTTATAGAGTATTATAAAGGCATTATAATTCACTATGAATGCCCTTATAATGCATTGCAGATGTGGTCTTCATAGAAAGTGTTACCCATTTTTTTTACTGTAAATTTGTCTATTCTATATTTAAGTTCTTGAGTGTTGCAGTACTTTGCCTAATTTTTATCCTTCTTAACAACTTTATTGTATATTTAACATATGCAACAAAAACCAGAGTAAATTACTTGTAAGTGAAAATCTACTTTGCAATAGCTCTTTTTCTGATTCTGATTCTGATGGTCACTACGAATATAATACTTAGCTGGACGGCTCTCTTCTCAGGCTGGCAGTACGCCTTCGACAGGATCAACACTCTAAACCAGGGAACACCCTACGACTACAACTCTGTCATGCAGTACAGCAAGTAAGCACTCAGACATCACCATGTCTTACCTTAACTGACTGACATTTCCTGTACACAAAGCACGACATAACTGCATCTTAAATTATCCAGCTACCCATCAACTACTCTCTCAATGTCTTTAAATCCAGGTACTCCTTTTCCAAGAACGACCAGCCCACCATGGTGCCGATTCCTGACCAAAACGTTGAGTTCGGTACAGCCACTGAGATGAGCCAGAACGACATCACAAGGCTCAACCGGCTGTACAACTGCAGATAAACCACACCAGTAAATACACACAAACACACACATTAACACAATAATTGAGCTGCAGTTTTGGAGCTGCACAACTCATTTCAGAGTCGGACCAGATTTCAGCTTCATCTGGGGTCGTTTTCTGTGCAGTGTACAGGGGGGAGTGAGGACCAATCATGGTCACAATCAACTGCTCCCATTGGACATTCGGATGAATTTCTGACATGTCAGAAACCTTGGTTCATCATTGTCATCACACTCACACAATTATAGCAGAGCCACTCATTGATTCCACAAAGTGGTGCTGCTAACATGAGACGGAATCAAAACTTGTACTGACCCGGGGTGCCCAGTGGCTCACTTGGTAGAGCTGGTGTTCAAAGTACAAAGGCCAAGTCCTTGCCGCAGCAGCTGCAAGTTCGATTCTAATCTGCGGCCCCTTGCTGCGTGTCATCCCCTCTCTATCCTCCTTTCACACCACCAGCTCTCCTATCAAGTAGGATGAAGTCACGTAATTTGGGACACTTTTTATTGGATTACCACAAAAACTCAAAAGACTTTGAGTGTTACTTTTACAACCTGTTATGTATCTATGCTGTTTTTCCATAAAGAAAATATGTTGCCAAGCAAAACATTTCAGAAACTTTTGTCTTTCAGGCACATCAAGAAACTTTGCTTCACTCCGATGACATGCTCAGGTGAAATAGGACAACTGGCGAGGGACAGTTATGTTTGTTTGTTTGTTTGTTTTTTAAATGGTAAAATCAGTTTGTCAGTTCAGTCATTGATTATTTCAGTCATTTATATACCTAAGTACTCATTAAAAAAATCATCCATCTTCTATGCCATGTTGTCTCGGGTCCATGTCATTGGTCCGACAGCCCATTGGTCCGACATCCCATTAGTCCGACAGTCAGCGGTGATGAACAACTCCCGGAGGGAGTATTTCTACCTTGATGGTGAGCCGCGACCAGCTCTGGGTCAGCTGGGAAAGGCTTGAGGCGAAGCAGGCTCACAGCTTATATGTTTGCCACTTCCTTTGTCATTTTAACCCACACCATGACCTTTTCCTAACCAAGTGGTTTTTGTGCCTAAACCTAACCAGACCTTAACCACAGGGCATCATGATGATTTCGGAACAACGGGACTTCGGAACAGTGAGTTTAATATGGTCGGAACAATGGGCTGTCGGACCAATGGGCAGTTCCCGTTGTCTTTGTTCTATTGTTGCCTGTTTCCTTGGTGCCATATTGTCTACAATGAACATGTGTGTGTGTGTGTGTGTGTGTGTGTGAAAAAGTTCTGGACTTTTGTGGGCAACATGGACTCACTGCATCATCTTTAATATTATTTTTAAGTGACAAAAATATGATGTGACAGGGTGGCACACAACAGCATAACAACTCTGGTAGATTAAAAACATGCCTGTTCCACCTCAGAGAAATGTCCCATTACACCTGTATGGATTAAGTAATCACTCAAAACCTTATAACCTGATGTCCCAAATGACCTGACTTCATCCTAAAGCCAAAAATGCAAAAAAAAACAAAAAAAAAAACATGGCCCATCATAATCAGACAGACAGTGAAATAAAATGGCCTGTCAGTAAAATGATAATATATTTATGAAACATTGCAGATATCTACTCTGAGGGTTCCAGGTGAGAGGTTTTTGATAAATACTAGTTTGAATTGTTTTCTTTTTCTTTGTAAAATTCAGGTGTGGATTTAAACTTGGTTTTATTTTTTTTCTGTCAAAGGCCCAACACAGAAGTTTGCTCCTCCTCCTGGATTCAGCTACCAACAGACGTCCTTCTGTGAGAGTTCAAAAGCACGGGAGATACATATCTGTATGATGACTGAGCCTTCATTCAGTTTGGAATATAAATGGTTGAAATGGATTAAAAAAAATCAAATTATGCTCAAATTTCAGGTCAGCAGCTTCAATAAAATATCACATAAATCATGTTGCAATGGCCTCATTCAAAGGACTATTTTGTTTACTTACCTCACTCCAGTAAAGATATTATTATTCTTTTTTTGTTTGACTTGCTCGGTGACGCTTCTGCAGGGGACTCAAACTTACAACCACAGACTCTGGTTACAAGAAAAACTGACCACTAACCAGCATGTCAACTTGACTTGAAAGTTTATCCATAAACACCACTGAAGTTTAAATTTTTCACTGTTACGGCAGCATCAGGTAAATCAGGTGTTTCCCAAATGGTTCAGCAGCGAGGTCCAGATTTCTCCTCAATCATTAGTTCAAGGTCCACACAGTTTAAAACACTCACCGTGTTTGTCCATGCCTTTGAGCTAGTTTGCCGTCTCTGTTAAGTAGCTGTCCAATATTCACTCACTCTACAGCAGGAAACAGCCCTTCAAAATAAAAGCTCTGTGTCAGAAATTCACTACACTTAAAATTAAAGTTTGTGGGGTTTTTTTATGTTTTGTTTTTTTGCAAACGACACATTTGCAAGTCACCTGCGGTCCATTCAGAATGGAACCACGACTGACTTTTGGACCACGACCCACCAGTTGAGAACCACTGCACTGAATGACTAAAACCTAAATTAAAATTCTTTCATTGTTTCAATAAACAGTATAAATCATGAGCAAATAACCTTTTTAAATGATGAGAGAACAAACACAAATGTTTTACATTGATATTTATTGATTAGAGTAAATAAGAAAAAGTGATTCCCACCACCTTAAAGCAAACAGGAAAATCTTTCATTATAAATCCAGACTTTCTCTGTTCAGGAAGAAGACAGAATGTAATGGATACGTAAAGACACCTGTCACAAGACTGCACTGACCTGACAATGAATAATTATCTGCCCCAGAGTCACGTTAGATGATTCATCCCAGTGTGATGGTATGATGTCGACATTAGGAAATGATTTCACTGGGTTTGTGACTCAGACAAATCAATTGATTGATTATCTGTCAGAGAGGCTGCAGGGTGACACATATTGGAGAGGAGGACTAGTTACTGCAGTACAGCAGGTTGATGCGGTTGATGTCGTTCTGGCTCATCTGCCTGGCTGTGCCAAAGACGGTGTTGGAGTTCGGGACAGCCACCATGGTGGGGTTGTAGTTGTCCTTAGAGAAGGCCAGCCTGAAAGGAGGAGACAAGTCATCACTTGTCTTGAATCAACATTGTTTGCTCAAATAGAGACCTTATAAACAATACAGAGTGTTGTTCCTGACAAATCTGGTGATATTCTATATTTTTCTTATTTTCATCAATTGATCTACCAACAAGCATCCTGTGTGTATCCAGAGCCTGATTTATCTTCTGTCTCTGTGCTATAGACCTTTATCGTTGTCCAGTTAATCCATGATGGAATAACTGGATGTCAGAGTCAGACTGACCTGCCGTAGTGCATGACTGAGCCGTAGTCGTACGGAGTCCCCTGGTTCAGAGTGTTGATCTTGTTGAAGTTGTATTCCTGACCTGCAGTGATGGAAGAAGTATTAAGGTCTTACACTGAAGTCAAGGCAGCTCTCTACGTTTGTCAAAACAAAAGTTCTCTGCTACTGTCATGTTTTTGGGGGGAACAAATGCACATGTTTTAAATACTGAGGGGGATGTGTCCCCTGTGACCCCCCTGAAATCAACTCTCATGCTTCAAATAAGTAGAGCACTTCAGTAAATGTACTGTAAAGTTTAAATTATTAACTATATTTGGGACAGATCTTTTATTCCTTTCACACAAAACTGTTGCTCAGCAAAGACGTAAAAGACAATCAAATTGTTGATTTAAACCAGTCTGAATATTACTTGTATAAAAATTAGGCTTTAGATCAATACATCATTTATGAATCGTTCAGTTGGTCTAACTCCATCAGACAGTGCATCAGAGGGTTACGGCAACCGGCATACCGACACAACACCACTTTATCCTGTTAAAACAATCCTCACAACTTGGATTCATTTTTATGAGAAATCCTTTTAATCCCTTTGATCTGAGGACCCTTACGGATTAAAGGAATATGTATAATTTACAGGGTATTCAAGGAATGGACACATAATTTGAGGCAGCCAACAACCTGGTTTTATACATCCGAATCAGCATTTCTATTAAAAAAATAAACTGCTTGGTGACCAGACCAGGCCTCTAATTGAGACAGGCCTTCATTTGTCAAAAAGTACAGCCACACTGGGTTAGTAAAAGGGACTGGGCGTTTAATTGACGTTTTACAGTAGTTACTCTCCACTACCTTTGATCTGTTGCTGATTGGTCAGCAAACAAAAGTCACTTTTATATTTCATTATAGCACTGAAAAATATCCTTCTGTCTCCAAATCCGCTGTTCACTGTTGATGTTTTGAACGTTTGAACGCAGCACTGTGAGGAACCTGTTTCCTCTACCTTTGATGATGTTCTGCAGCAGGACCCGGATGTTCTGGTCCCTGTCAGAGCGGCACTGCTCGTGGTTGAAGCCCAGGGCGTGGAGCAGCTCGTGCTGCACCGTACCGTGGTAAATACAGCCCCGACGGCTCAGAGACACGGTCTGGCTGTTGCCCTGGCGACCCACGAAGGAGTAGCATCTGCAGAGATGTTGGACAACACAGTCACTGTGCTCAGTAAGACACTTCTTAACATGGCTGCTACCTTACTGTGTGTACACATGGAAATAAACCCCCTGATAAAGACTATGCTACATCTGTACACACCCCTCCAGAGACTGGATGTGGATGAAGTCCCTCTCGCTCCTGCGGGGGTAGAAGCGGATGCAGGTGGAGTAGGAGAAAGAGTTGATGCCTCTCTTGATGACATCCAGCTCCGTAGAGGCTGCAGGGAAAATCACAAAGATAAAAAAAAACACACTTTAAAAAATAAGCTTGTCTATATTTTTCTTACTCTCAATAAATCCCATGATCTGTAATGATGGTCATCAAGGCCTTCTTATTACTGTTTTTTCAAAACTTGTTCTTTTTGAAGTTTGGATTATTGTTTACGATATAAATTTGAAAAGAAATCTGACAGGATAAGGGCACAGTGACAATCCGGTCTCGCTCCGAAGTTGTTGAAAGCCGGCATTTGGGCAGTAACTTGCAGTGTCAGACAGACAAACAGGTGGGCAGGATGGGTCCAACAAACACCGACTTTCACCCAGGAGAGCGGAGTTTGCATCCCGTAAGATTATAAAGCCAAACCCTGTTCTTTTTTCCTAAACCCAACCAGGGGGAAAAAAATGTCAATTTGCGGTGTTGTACCCTATGTAGTGCTTTTATTTTGAAAGAGACTGTAGAAACTGTACATTTCCTGTGAAAACAGAAGTGTATTTTGAAAACAGACAATGCATGTAACAGGCTGAAGTTGACATGGCGTCCCAGAACGTCAACAACCAACACACCCAGGATACCTTGAACGTCATATCTGTGATGAGGTCATTGACTGTGACGACCTGAGGTCTCACTTATAAAACAATGCGCAGGATTAATACTAAAAATATACGTACAGAAAGAAGCCAAAAATATGTAAGCATCATGGGTCAAAGTTTCTCCCATCAAGTCGTTTATTGTTAGTCGTTTAGTTGTTTTTATACATCACAACTTTTCTATGGGAGGTGGCGTACGCCTCTTTCAGGCCTTGTTTTGTGCGTATGCAGTTTTTTTTAAATGAAGCCCCTGAACACATGCTATAGACGAATTTGGCGAGCGATTTGTGTATGCCGCTATCTTGACATGTGTCAGTCATCAGTCATCAATTGATTATGCTGTCATTGTGAACTGACTCTCTACAATGACAGCATCATGAATAGCAGGATTGATGAAGTTAGACAGTGGCCTCAGGTAACTGATAAAAGTATCTTAAATGAGAACCGATATTAATATAGAAATTAATCAATTGTTTGAGCGATAAGCAGGAAAGATTATAATAATAGGGAGATAATAGACTGTATCATTAAACACTGTGTAATATAACGTTAGCATACGTTACGTGTGCTGACGTTAGCAAGCTAGCAGCGTGACATTTAATCATTATGGATATTGATCGGCTTCAATATGATGTGATGGTCGTCTAAAAGGCGGTGTAAAATTTGCCCGACCCATCTGGAGCTCAGGTAATTTTGACTCTCAATCAGAGACCTGTAATTGCCGTTTTTCTGGTCATCAGAGGCCAGGCGATCAATAAAATATTCTTGAATACCTAAAACAAAACACAAACACGTGTTGTTGTTGTTTTTAGTCACGTAGCCTGTCCATAATGATTAAATGTCACGCTGCTAGCTTGCTAACGTCAGCCCACGTAACGTATGCTAACGTTATATTACACAGTGTTTAATGATACAGTCTATTATCTCCCTATTATTATAATCTTTCCTGCTTATCGCTCAAACAAATGATTAATTTCTAAATTAATATCGGTACTTATTTAAGATACCTTCATCAGTTACCAGAGGCCACTGTCTAACATCATCAATCCAGCTATTCATGATGCTGTCATTGTAGAGAGTCAGTTCACAATGACAGCATAATCAACTGATGACTGACACGTCACTGCAGCAATGGCGCCGCCACAAGATGGCGGCATACACAAATCGCTCGCCGAATTCGTCTATATTCACAGAGCCAACAGTCTCATCCTGCAGCAGAGAAGTATAAAAACAAAAGCTGATAGAACAACAGCCAAGCAAGAGTCAAGAAGAAGAAACCTGAATTTGTTGAAAAAGAAGCTTAAAAAAAGTATTAAAATGTTTCTGAAAAAAATCAGATGCGATATTCACAAGAAATAATCTGCTCAAAATTCATCTTAAATTATTACGTTCTTGATTTGGGTTCATTGTACTGAGTATCAGTTGTTCTGTACAGTTGTTGTTGTGCATTGAATATAATGTGAAATATCCATAAAATATGTGACTTAGTCAGGGGGGTCAGAGTATGTGTGTCAGCAGGATGGTGAATGTGGGATTGAGTCAAAGTAAACTACAGTGTGTGTTTATGGTGATGAAGAAGCGTCACCCAGTTGCAACACTGAGACTCACTGATGTGTGTTTTAAGATTCTGAACAACAGTGGAGCTCTATGGCACTGAGGAGGAAGAGCTTTTACACAGTACTTGTGAGCAGGATCCATTCCTGTTGGTTTTTGTCTTCTTGTGGGATTTGTTGACAAAATAAAAATATAGAATATCACCCGCCTGATCCTTTAAAGGAAACTAAACCTTTTCAGTTATTTCTAAAGAACGTATCCGTGCAGCAGGGGAGCGTAGGGAGCCACTTACAGTAGTGGTTAGCGATGACGTAAGGAATGTAGACCTTGCCGTCGGTGGCTTTAGGCCACATGCAACCACGCAGGACGCAGGGGTCGGCGTTCCTCAGGGAGGGCAGACGGGACACAGCGATGTCACCGTGTACCTCGATGCCGTCACGCTCATTCCCTGCAGAGGATGTGAGGAGAAGTCAAGTCAAAACATCTGCTGTGAAAAATCTTCATCGTTAGTACATGGAACCAGAAATAAACAATGATCAAGCTGAATTTTAATTTCTATTTTTGTATCTACAGTGGATGTGACGGTCACTGCGTCTTACCAAAGTCTTTGTTGGCATTCTCCAGCTGCTCGGAGACGGTCAGGTCATCCTCATCGTTACTGTCCTCACTCGCTTTCATCACAACCTGCAGACAGGAAGTGTTACCAAGGTAGAAAATGTTACCACGACATGTGATGGAAATGTGACGGAATATCAGAAATAAATGGCCGAGGCTCATTTATAACCCAGTCAAGTTTTCTTTTGGATCTGACTGTGTTATCTCAAGAGATGATTATTTCAGACAAATCAAAACTACTGCAGTGAAAGAGTAAACAGAGCATTTTAAGATATGAAATTAGGATCAGGCCGAGACAAGAGGAAGGCTGCTTCTCCATTTCTTCTTATTTCAAAACTCATCGTGTACAACTGTGTGTACAACCAGAAAAAATTTTTGTATTTCAGTATGTGGGGTGAAGTTATGGAACAGTTTAAATGTGGAGATTAAGCAATGTCAAACACACACTGATTTAAAATAAACTACAAACACATGATATTCAGGAAGTGCAGGGTTGAAGAAGGAGTTTGACATTCACCTGTCGTTCACAGTGATAACTGTTTATATTTCTCTACTTTATATGTTTATCTATATGAGGAGGCTGTTCGTTTCATTTCACCTGCTGACTGATGGAGAAGAGGTGGGGTTTAATAAGTTTATACTTCCTCCCACTTCTTTTGGACGTGTAAATCGAAGTAACCAGACACTGACAGTTGTTTTTCATTATTTGTAAATATTACTTTCTGTCTGCTTGTTTCCACGCATGAAATAACTATCAAATAATAATCAATATCAAGAGCTGAATTTTACAAATATGAGGAACTGACCTATAGCTAAGCCCCGCCCTCAGATGCAATGAGCCAATCACAGTGTGTATAGCCATTCCCATACACTCGGACATTCTCTCCCTGGACGTCCATTGAAATGCATTACAGAAAGTCAGTTTTGTTCATCTCAACCGAGAAAAGTGTCTCCTTTGGATAAAGTTGTGTGGTAACGTTAGACCACAACATCAACTCAACGTGAATAAGATTAACAATGATGTCTACATCTGTTCTAAGGTAAGTCAGCGTTGTGTTGAGGCAACATATTGTCACTTTGCTGGAAAGAAATATAAAGTTATCTTTAACATCTCTAGCTAACGTTAGCTAAAGTTAGCCTAACGTTAGCTCCTGACACCGTCATGTCACCTTGTTTGCTGGGAGTTCATTAGCCTATTTTGTTCTAGTTTTGTACTTTGGTGATCGTACATCATTGTTAGCTGTTGTCCAAAGGGCTCTAGTTAAGCTAACGTTAACTTCTGGAGCTTAGCTTCATTAACTTATCTGTAATGGCAGAGATAACAAAGGTTGGCAAACGTTATGATGAATGATTCAGTGTAAATACTGTAGCACCAAACTAACGGAGAGACACTCTTGGTAAAGATGGTAAAAAGGCCGTTATCCTTTTCTCATATTCTGAGCCAAAAACCTTAACTTCAGTGGCACTTTAACTTGTTGTATTTGATGGTGACGGCAACCAGATGCGGTTCACAAGCGTACACTGTGACCTGTAAATTTTGGCTTGTAATTTAAGCTTTTCATCGACCTTCTCAACAATAAAATGATGAATATATCCCTCCAATGCGTAGTTTAGGCCCTTTTGGTTACTTCTCAATGACATCTGATCGTTATGTCCCCAAAAACCATCAGTTGCCTCCTGTGAAATGCCGTGTACTGTGACACCTGCCATAGCGCCGCTCACTGAATGTTGATAGTTTGTCCGAGTGAGTGGAGGGGGCGTGGCTTAGCCATAGGTCAATTGATTAAAATCTCATATTGATGTTATATTAAACTCAGTTACGTCTTAATAAGAAACAGGAGAAGTTTTACCAAACTGACAAAGACATTTACTGTGTATTTTAATATTTCTTTTTATTATTGTTTGTTTTGTAAGTACACAATATTTTCTGAAATCTAGATTTTATTTTTTATTTCAGTACCTATTATTTTTTTTAAATTTAGTAAACTATAACAACCTTGGTGACCTACACATGTAGGTTTTTTGGCTTTACTGTCCCAAGTTATAGTATTTTCTTGTTAATATTTGTTTGTTTATTCAGGACTTTTTTCCCAAGGAGCACATGTGCTCCTAAGTTGAAAAAGTAAGGAGCGCACAAAGAACTTGGGGCACAATGTAAATTGATCAAATAATGTGTTTTCCATAATAAACATGATGCAAATAGACATTTACAAGCAAAATTATTGAATGAATTTGTATACAAAATGTACAGAAAGGTAAAATCATCAAGTATTGCAATTTAATTTTGTCTTTAATGTTATCTTATATATATTATCTTTGCAATATGATTATCTTATATAATGTTATTACTATCCTAAAACATTCTCCAGGTCCTCTGAAACTCTGCAGGACTTAAAGCCTCTTTCACACAGAGCGCCCTTTGCGGCTTTATTTCCACCCTGCCCAGCAGCGGTACCTAACTGCGGGGAGAACGGAGCAGGCTTCCCTGTAGGTCCGCCGCTTCCTCCCACTTTTCCGACAGTGGGACTTTTATTCATTGTGCCGACAGTGGCTTGGAAAACCGCCCATAACCGTGTCACGCGGGGAAGAGGGAAGAGGGAGGGCGGCTGGAGTTCCTCCAACATTTGCGGTTAGATTATCATATTTTTTTATTGACAAAAATATAGGCTGCTTCGGCTGATTTTTTTATGCGCACAAGTGCCCCTAAATATTTTTTACAGTTCGCACACACCTATTTTATTTTATAAATGCAAGTGAAACGCTCGCACTGTCGAGCCCTGTTGTTTGTTTGTTTGTTTGTTTGTTTGTTTGGGGGTTTTTGGCATCAGAATGGCTAAATGTATATTTTGTCTACAACATATAACAAATTCACCTATGAGGGGGAGATTGGTTTGCCAACTGTAATTAAGAATAAAATTAGCAGCTCAACTTTGAAGCCGACATGATGGACAAACGCCCCTAAACTGGTCATAAATTTAAAAAACTACAATCCTGGCACAGCGGAGCAAACTCCATCTGTGGAAGACCGTGTGGTACGATTGACACCTTGAGAACTTTTTGCTCAGGCTGCAGATGTGTCTGCAGTCAAAGGATGCATGATAACATCAGTACATCATCGGTATCGGCCGATGCTGTTAATTCCACTACAGAAGAGACTTGATGATCACTAAAATTAGGTAGGATAAAGTGGATATATCAATATCAGTCAATATCATGCATACCTACATTCAGAGACCTGAAGACCAGCTTCATGTCACAGAGCTCCAGCTGTGCAGGACTTACCCCGGCCTCGGTCCAAACTGAGACTGCAATCAGGGCCAGGAGGCTTAAGATGCACTTCATCGCTGCCATGTTACCGAACAACCTGCAGGCTGAAACAAACCAGCAGTCAGACCAAAACACAGCAGCATCAGTATCAGAGGCATCAGGAGCAGGAAGCATCTTTCACTTACCTTTACCTCTTTACTTCAGGGAGGAAAGTAAGAACTGTGATGCTCTGTGGAGGCACAGCTCATCCTCTTATATAGCAAAACATGCCATGTTCCACCTTCAGCAGAACGTATGCAGGGCATTACCTTCTTAATTCCACAGATACAGGTTAATATTTACCATGTTAAACCTCCATAAACATGGACTTGATTTTTCCCAGCCTTCGCAGACATACGGCCACCGCCACACTAATCCAGAAGACAAAGAAGGTGTTAGAGTGTTAGATGCTGATATTGATCTTGACTAAGCGTCCCATAACTGCTTTGAGATTAAGCGGTCACTCTGCAGGGAGTGTGTAGGAGTCACCTACAGATGGTTTGTGAGGCGGTCACAGAGGGTGACGGCAGGTCACTGAAACACTGCCAGATCAAACCTTGGGGTTTAAATGTGTCCGTTCTGTGTGTTTGTCCTTAATGAACTTAATGAATGAACAATGGTGGCTTTATACAGAGCTGACCCTGACGGTGGAGGACGACCGGGCCGTTTCGTCTCACTACTCTAAAGACAAGGAGCATTTACCACAAATACTATTTATACCACTGTGTTTACAGTGCCCTCCAAAAGTATTGGAACAGTGAGGCCAATTCCTTTATTTTTGTTGTAGGCTGAAAATATTTGGGTTTGACATCAAAAGATGAATATGGGACAAGAGATCAACATTTCAGCTTTTATTTCCAGGTATTTACATCTGGATCTGATACACAACTTAGAAGATAGCACCTTTTGTTTGAACCCACCCATTTTTCATGAGAGCAAAAGTATTGGAACATGTGACTGACAGGTGTGTTTTGTTGCCCAGGTGTCTCCCAATTACATTGATTATTCAAACAATAAATAGCACTGAATGTCTGAGCTCAGTTTCAGATTGGGTACGATAGGTTTTGCCTGTGCAGACTGCATTTAGAGGTGGAACCAACATGAAAACCAGAGAGCTGTCTATGGGTGAAAAAGAAGCAATTGTGAATCTGAGAGAAGATGGACAATCAATCAGAGCCATTGCACAAACATTGGCCATAGCCAGTAAAACCATTTGGAATGTCCTGAAGAAGAAAAAAACCACTGGTGTACTAAGCAACAGACGTCGAACAGGTAGACCAAGGAAAACATCAGCAGTTGATGACAGAAACATTGTGAGAGCTGTAAAGAAAGACCCTAAAACAACTGTTAGTGACATCAGCAACAACCTCCAGAGGGCAGGAGTGAAGGTATCACAATCTACTGTTCGCAGAAGACTTCATGAACAAAAGTACAGAGGCTACACCAGAAGATGCAAACCACTCATTAGCAAGAAGAATAGGAAGGCCAGGCTGGAAAGGTACAGAGATGAGCCTCAAAAATTCTGGGAAAAAGTTTTATGGACTGATGAGACAAAGATTAACTTTTTCCAAAGTGATGGAAAGGCAAAAGTTTGGAGAAAGAAAGGATCTGCTCATGATCCCAAACATACAAGCTCATCTGTGAAACACGGTGGAGGTAATGTCATGGCTTGGGCTTGCATGGCTTTTTCTGGGACGGGCTCTTTCATCTTCATTGATGATGTAACACATGATGGCAGCAGCAAAATGAACTCACAAGTCTACAGAAACATTTTGTCTGCTAATTTAAAGAAAGATGC